GAGACTTGCCACGGTCTCCAACCCTCCTCCTTTCTCATCCGGGCTTGGGTCCGGCCATGGCGGAGTTAATTTTTGTAATTTAGTATATAATTAAATTGCACGTTCACTTTCACCCACGGAGTCACTTAAAATGCGTAAATCGAATTTCCAGTCTCATTTCACTCATTAGTTAGTGCAACAGTGTCCTTAATTTGAATTTTTCTTGCGGACTTCAAATAATCATAAAAGTAGCTTTTAGCTTTCTATTTTTGAGATTCAGTAATGCTCCGCAGCGTCGTTACACATAATTTGCCTCATTTTGCTTTAGTGAACCTCAAGTTTTTGTTGTACTATATTCATTTCACGAAAGAGGCTTCTGAAATATCCACCGCTGTGAATATGCTGAAAGTTACGTTACGAAAGATGGCAGATGGTGGAGTACACGATCACATTTTTGGGGTAAGATTTATTATACGGTGTGGTAACGGCTGTTTCATTAATTTTGGTCCTTCCCTCTTACATATGGTTTGGTGAGGTTTTGCTGAGGGTTATCATTCATCCGACTTATCTTCGTTGTTGTTCGCCACGAATGTAGGCTCATCGTCCTTGGATCTTCTGTTCTCTTCAGTGTTTTTGGCGAGTGGTATTTTTGCAGTCCTTGCACGGTTCCCACTCTTCTGTGTTATTGCTGCTGTGTTTTCGACCTTGATTAGAAGGAACATTGGGTAATGCTTTTCGGTGTAGAAACATTGCAAATATTTGTGCCATTTTGTTTGGCTACATGAATATAATTGTTATAGATATATGATGATACGTTAATTATTTGACATTTTTTGGTCCTTGGTCGATCCTTATGCTTTATTATTTGGCATGGCATCCGCCTTACTTTTTCGCCTAATCCTGACAGTTGGTGCTGGCTTCTGTTCCTGCTTGCCTGATGTTATGGACAAAACATATAATATTAATATGTAGCGTGCATTTGCATATTTGATTAATTATATATTGTCTGTTTATAGGGCTTTCATCGTTATTCGGTCGACAAAAAGTGGCACGTGCCGCATTTTGAGAAGATGTTGTATGACCAGGCTCAGCTCGCAGAAGTTTATGCATTGTTCCACGCGGTAAGTTTATCGTATGGGCATTTCGATTTTGTATTAGAATTTTGATATCGACAGCCTAAGTATGTACGAACTACAATGGCTCTCTTTCAGTTATATTTTGTCTGCGTCAAAAGATTTACTCCATCTGAAATGTTTTGGAAACCTGCAGATTTTTGGTCGATGGGGGCCGCAAAGAGAATGTTTGGAATTTTTCTACTGCTTCTGGAAGTAAAAGGAGTTCGTCGGAATAGCAGGAAGCTATTAAGGGTCATACGGGCTATTTTTCAACTTGTACAGCCATAGCCTGCAAGTCTGTTTCCAACGGACCTCTGTGAGGTCTTTATTGAAGCGTCATCCAGCTAAAACTTAGAAACCGTACTCATAACCCCTAGGAACTTCTGACTGTAATTGAGTTTATTTCTGGTCATGGTTTCTACCAATTGGATTTAGCAGAGGAAAATAATTTTTTTAAAGAGTTGCTTAGGGCACTGCCGTCATTTTCATAGAGTCTCCTTTTTGTGCTGTTTCGGTAAGTAATATCTTTTCCTATTACTTTAGCCAAGCTACACCACTTTTCCAGCAGTCGTTTTATGCATGCAGCAGAGGTCTTAAAATCAGTCAAAATCTGCACTATTTTACAGGTGAACCATGAACAGTTGGATGCCTCGACTGTTCGTGATATTCTTGCCTACGTAGAAGAGAGACTGCTCTCAACTGTTGGTGGTTTCTTCAGTTCGGAAGATGCCGAATCGCCGTTGGAACCTGGTGCTGAAAATCAAGAGGGTACCTTCTACTGCTGGAAATACCATGAAGTTGTCGAGTTGCTGGCAGAAAAGATAGGCGAATGTGCAGTTTCTATCGCAGATGTGTTTCTGCACCACTACAGCATCACAGCCGATGGAAATATTCCTTCAAATCTGGTATATTTGAGTTTCGTTTAAGATTAATCATTAGGTAGCTTTTCTTAATGTCGGATAAATAATTACTGAAAATACAACAGAGTGGTATTCAAAAAGTCTCTTGGCTGAAAATGAACTCGCTGCTGCGGACCATCCTAACAGCAGCCGAAATTTATCGTGAATTTATCTTGCGTAGCTTCCCGGAGATACGAGATGAAACGCCGGAATCTGTCTGTTAAACGATAGATCATTCAATGGCATAGTGTATGAATTAACTGTTTCTATAACTGTCAAATGAAAGAGTAGCTAAGATGCAAAGAAAATGATACTTGCCCCATTATCTCCCGAAGGCCAGACTTATCACGTATTACACGGTTCCCTTGCTACCTTTATTAGGAGCCTTATGAACCGACTTTTTGTCTGCAGACCACAGAACGAACTTCGGAAATCATCTCCATCCACCTTAAAAATCAACGATCTGCAATGTCGCTGCTGGTTGATTTCTCAGTTGACCAAATTCTTTGTACTGTGTATGAATAAACCGTATTTTCTATGGTTTTCAGTATGCGAACCAACGCACGAACGAAATACTCAATTTTTGAGTTCTTTCTTAAAGACCTCGTAAGATATGTTTTGCTGAGGTTGTGGTTTAACACTGGATTAACGTATATTTTGCGTCGCATTCAGAAATGCGGTCTTTCATTAAAAATGCAACTCATGGCAACTTTTTTGTAATAAATGTTTAGTGTTTATAATAGTTGTTCGATCCAGCTGATGAAGTCAGTCCTCAGTTAAGGTCTTCCGTTAAAAATGCATTGGCAGTTTTCTTAAAGTGAATGTAATGCCAATTTAAGATTTTGTTCACACGGGCGAAACCGTTTTAGGACCCTCATGGATATCTTGGAGGAAAAAACATTCTTATTTGCTTAACGGATATTGAGCAGACCGCCAAGCTCTTTGGTCTGCCTGTTTCTGTTGCCTCTGATGCGCTGGAGAAGGGAAGGCAAATTCTGAAGGCCAGTCGGAAAACGTTTCCTAGGCCTAGCCTGGATACGAAAATCATCACCGCCTGGAATGGTAAGACATTACTTGAGGTATACCTAATGACGGGACTGTTGTAGGTTTGATGATCAGCGGATACGCTGTAGCTGCTCGACTGCTGAATGATCCTTCGTACCTGGAGACCGCGCTTAAAACTGCGGAATTTCTGTTACATCACTGCTATTCTGAAACTTCTCTTGAACTGCAGCGACTGTGTTACGTTGATGACACTTGCAAAATCATCGAATCATCGTATGTCTCTACGGTTTTCTTTTTTTTGTTTCTTGAGAATCAGTGAAGCGATTATATTTCTTGGCGCTGCTTGCCTAAGTGTATGCATTTATGATTCTATTGTGTATTACGAACGATAGAGGTAGCAGTTCTTGGACCAAACTGACCTACGCTGATTATGCATCCTATGAGTAACGGGTTCGATTTTTTAGTGCGGTAGCAGTCATCCTTTTCAATTGGGAGCAAATAATTTAAGTCACCGACAGATCTGCGCGTCACACAACTTATGTATATGACTGTATAATACAGTTTCACAAATTGTTTTCTGTTACCATCACACTCATCCGTTTTTCCATTTCCAAGAATTCATTTCGAGTGAGGATTTTGAAGTAGTCCACGTAAGAGGTCCAATGCTTCAAAACCTACTTTACGGAAAACTTTAGATTACCTTAAGTTTTATATTGGCATGACTAGGCGCAAGGTAAAAACTCAAGTTACGGAGTATCTAGTAGTGCTTACAACAGTTGTTATGTAACCATCATTTACGGTTAATATCGTGTGTTCATTTTTAGTCAGTCATGAAGAAGATTATTCAAAGAAGAATTTCAGCCATGAGGTGTACGGATTAGACAATATGGTCTTATGACTCTCACGTTTTGACGTGGCCAGCCACATCATGAGATCACGTTGTCCGTATTGTTAGAAAATCAACGATCAATGGTTGATTTCCCTTCTCGGCTGATTGCACTGAAGTACTGTTGCAGTGGGCGAAATCTATGCTCAGTGGAATTAGTAGCCAATAGAAGCAAATTTCGCAAAATAAACTGGAATGATCCAGGTGACAGAAGCACAGAACAGGGATGATTAATTAAGAGTCGAACTTGTTGATACCCTAACAAACGAGAACAAATCAGATGATGGCTTTCAAGCTATCCTCGTTAATTGTCATGTGACGGTCCTTAATTCGTTGTGCGTGGCCATCCTTGTATCTACAGAAGAGTCAAGCTGGTAAAAAACTATTGGTGTTAGCTGTTCCTGCGCATCGGCATTGCAGTGCCTCATATAGACGACCAAAATAAAGTAACTTTAACTATGGAAGCTGATTCGCTCACCGTGTAAGACCTGCATTAGATGATTTTTTTCTGCGCTCGTGCCAGTGAACTTTTGAAATGATGCGCCCATGTGGTTCGTTTTGGTAGTGAGCCGTCTGTGAATTCGCTTTGACAGTTGAGACCGTTTATTCTTGGTCGCCACGCCAGTACCTTAGCAGCGCCAGGATGCTGACACGCGGGACAGCTGGCGCAGTTCTGTAGGGTTTCTTCCGGGTCCTGTGCTAACTTATGACATGATAAGTGCAGATAGTTCCATTTTGGCCGTAACCAGGTGGCCAACCAGATATTAACTTTAAAGTGTATATCTGCGTGTGTATGTACTTTCAAAATAAGCTCTTTTGCTATCTCTTTGCATTCGAGCATCACAGTGGGCTATTGTCCTGTTAAATCGTTTCATTATTCTACTCCATCTAGCATTTGAATCGAGATTTATCGATGACTCAGTGACTAGATACGGAGAAGATCGGACTAGGCTTTATGGATAATTTCAGGCAATGGAAAGGATGCAATCGGTTTTTGCCTCTTGAATGATTATAGGAAAATTCAGCGTATTGCTTAGAGGATAATGAGCAAATTTGCCATCATTACAACTGACTAAATCGGCTACTTATCAGACAAAACGATTTTTTATATATTTCAGATGTAGAATAACAGTTGACTGTTTATTGACAACAATCATATCTGACTTTATGTCATTTCAGACAAAATACCAATGGCTTTGCCGAAGACTACGTATCGGTCATCGCTGCTTTTCTGGATTTGTACGAAAGCTCATATGATGACCGTTGGATTTCGCTCGCCAATCGGCTACAGGACAAAATGGACGCTTTGTTTTATGATCCTGACTCTGGATCGTACTTCATCAATCGCGCAGTCAACGACAGCTGTATGCTGCGAGTTCAAGATGGTACGAGACTCTTATCGATCGAAACAGTTTGTTATTTCTGAACAACGTCTTTTCAGAAAACGACGGAGCCACACCATCGGTCAATTCATTGGCGGCGTTGAATCTCGCTCGTTTGTACAACATTTTGGGCAATGAAGCCCTGCGGTCAAAACTCGAGCGGTTGTTAAAGTTCTTCGGCGCAGAAATGTCCACCACACCCTTCGCCGTCCCTTTGATGACCTGTGCACTCATGCTGTTTCTGAAGCCAGCAAAGCAAGTATGCACAGTCACGTGACATCTCAAATTTTTCTTGGTTTTCTTGGTGATGTACAGCTAGATCCGGTACACTGAGGACAAGTTCTTAACTGCAGGGCTTAGTGCTGCAAACTAGAAATAAAGACCGCAATAAATGGCGAACACAGGTCCCTCGGTTTTGCTTTGTTAAATATTTGTAATATCTCTTCTTTTATGGAGTTTTTATCTTTCTAGTCACTCTTCTGCTGAATGGCGAATACCATTAGTCATAGTCATTATCTAGTCATTGTCATTATTCTTTGTTCAGATTGCGGAACAGACTCTTCATGCCTTTTTTAGAGATTAATATGCCTATCCTTCGATTTAACACCTTCCGATTTTGTAAATTTTTGTTACGGCCAACCTTATTACTATATACTTTCTTTTCAATTTTTCAACAATATTTTCGCTACGGCAAATAAACAAGCATAAAGCCGCTGTGAAAGACAGAGTCTACATAGGTATAATATAATATTGCAACTGCATGAAATAAAATTGCATAGAGTCATGAATGGTTTTAGGAAATTGTTACGCTCGTAATATGTCCATGAGTTTCGTGTTTCTGAGGGTAAAATGAAAGATGTTCAACAAGCTGTCCTGGAACTTTCAATTTAGGCTTTGAAAGACTTAATTTAATGATTGTGTTAAATATGAGTTATTGAAGAATTTAATAAATTGATTAACTGCAGTCAGGCACGTTTTCAAAATTGGAGGAAGAATTTTGACCACAGAAAGGTTAAATAGGAAAATGTTCAGAATTCTTAATCTTTATTATTCTGCGTTGAGGACAGCCACACAAAATTCTGCGATCTTGCAGAGACTTTGAACTGAGTTCTGCAGGTAGTCGGCAAATTCATAAAGCCGTTCGACGATATTTGATAGATACCACGGGAACGGGAGATTTGCGTCTTAAAATTCAATTCTGTAGTTTCTTAGACTACAATCTCAACATCGTTAGCTAATTCTCAAAATCATTGGCTGAAAATACAGTCTGAATTAACGAGGTTTAAGTCGATGCGAATTTGTCTTCTGACCCTCCGTAAAATTCTCATCGATACCACATTCCTCATTATTTAAGATCTGACTCAGTTCCACCATCTCATTTCATGTTTCCTATTCTTACTTTTATGAGCATTGAGATTTTTCACGACTGTGTAAAGTAATATTTTGGTCATAAACGGAAATCCGTTGAGATACAGCGATATCCTTTAATGACCTAAACAGCAACGAATAGTTCTTGAAACAGCCAATTCACCGTTGCTCTTTAGAGACTTAAGGAATAAACCGCGACATTTTAACTTCGTCATGAGGAAGAAATGTGCTGTATGGATTCAATGGATTTGCAGGCTGAAGATTCTGAAGGCATGACATCATCTAGTTAACGGAGCATTACATCATTAACCCATCAAAAATCGCGCAAGAGCATGAAATGGTACTCTATTCTACCGGCGATCTGTCTACCAGATGACACAAGATTAAAACATTAGTGCCATATTGTTTTTTGGCAGAATCTGAAAGCTACCATTCGTAGCAGAACAGAACTGCAGGATTATATTTTGTTTAAATTTGTCTATAAGTCTAAGCTAGTTGTTAGCCAAAGCGGTGGTTGCTATAAAGTTGCTCTTAGTGAGAAACCCATTTATCCACATTTCACCTGAGTGTGATCAATGGGTAAAGAATTTCAGCTTGTCCTTGTTCCCCTCCGAGTGACTTATCAGACTTTTATATCTCCATTTAGGTACTTTAATTCATTTATTTATATTTATATATTATTTGCTCATATTTATTTGATTCATGCTTTTCTTGCAAAGCACAGTTCTAACGGTGTTGCTTTTATTTAAGGTTGTTGTATATGGTTCAAGAGACGATCCTCTGACGAAGGAAATGCTGTCAGTTTTCCGCTCTTCATTTGATCC